TAGCATCTCTGTCTATCAAATACTGTACCTAGTTTTGGTAAAAGTGTTAGAAAACAAACACGATTATACACTACTGGTACAAGTACAAATTGTAAAAAAAAAAAACTTTCCATAAGGCAATTGTATCTTAAATCCTAATACAGTAAAATTTCATGGAGTAATTTTACTTTGGGAGAAAAAGGAAACACCAGTGCAAAAAGATTGTTTGTTTACTGCAGTGTGTTTATAACAGGAAAAAATGGAATCTGCCCAAATGTTTATCCACAAGAGACTTTACGTAAATAAGGTTAACCTGTTCCATGAAATGTCATTCAACTACTTAAAATAATGATGTAGAACTGAATTTAATATCATGAGAAGAGATCCACAGCATATTGTTGAGCAAAAAGGGCAAGATATAAAATGACATGTATAATACGATACCATTTTTTGAATTATGATTCCGTGTCTAATTATTACAATATGCAGAGAAAATTATCTGGAAAAGGATATTTCTAAATGTTAACCAAGGCTACCTCTAGATGAAGGGATTTCAAAAGATCTTTTTTTTTCTTTATACTTTCTAGTATTTTCTAAGATTTGTATGAGTATGTTATTTATCTAATCAGAAAAAAAAGCTACCTTCAAAAGAAAAAACCTAACTAACAACAACAAAAAAAGCTTCAAAATATTTAGATAAATGTAAGAATGATCATTTTTTAGGGAAAATCCTAGTGTTTAGATGAATCTCCCTAATCTTTGACACTGGCCTTCCTACATTTTTCATGATGCCAACTGTGAAAACAGAGAATAGGTTCAGAGTCAGAATCAACTCGATGGCAATGGGTTTGGTTTTGGGTTTTATAGAAGACATTCAGTGTATGTGGACAATGGACAGACTTGCACTGATCATGGTGATCATAGTCAATAGTTGAAAGGGATTGGGCAGTGAAAGCTGTTAGACAACTCACACATGAAGTAAACTTCAAAAACTATTTGTTGACTCTTGGATGGGTGGGGCTTCTTTTTTTTAAACTCCTCCTAGTATGTTCTGAACCTAGGTTTCACAATAAAGCTCCTGGCACCGTATCTTACAGCTATTTCTGGCTACCTATGTGTAAAGCTAACACAGCATTGAGCAAAGTCCTGGTACTGGCGTTGACCGGGAAGTTTTCCTTCTTTCTTCCCTCTGTGGGATGGTTCTAGGCAACTGTGGAGCCCAGGTGCTTCGCGTGGATTGGAATCAAAAAGACATGTTTCAGTTTGTCAACTGGGGTAAATGATCACTGGCTCCGAGCCTGAAGACGCCAGAAGGTGCTGCCATCCTTGACAAAATCTGCCTTTAGTCTGACGTGCTGATTGATCCTTTCCCAAATGGGGCTCTGGGGAAAGGGAAACGTTTGCCAGAGGAAATCTTACAGAAGAACCCAAGACTCATCTCTGCGAATGTTTCTACCAGAATGAACTTACCCAGTAAGTATTGCCAAAGCAAAGAGCATGATATTAACTTTTTGGCTTTGTCTGGTGTACTGTCAAAATTTGGCCGGAAACATGGGAAACCATAGGCACCCCCAAATTTCCTGGCTTCCTCAGTCGGAGGAGGGGCTCTGGGGGCAATGGGTATTGTGATGGCTCTTTTCGAATGTGCCCAGTCTGCTAGACAGCAAACTGTTGATGCCAATGTGATAGAAGGGACAGCTTATGTTAGCTCCATACTGCGGTACTTGCAGAATTTGGACAATTTTAACAAAGTGAAGGGAGAAAATCTACATGATGAAACAAACGTATTGGACCTCCAATGGAAAATTTATGACTGTGGGGGGCTTATGAAGCCCCTATCTATGAGAAATTTCTGGAAGGACTGGATTTCGATACTTTAAAAACTTTCCAGGCAGCTGAGTTCACCAGACTGGCCGAGGCTGAAGACACTTTTTTGTAGACATATTTTCTACAAAGACACAAGCAGAATGGTGTGAGATCTTTGATGGATTGGATGCCTGCGTGATCCTGTTCTGTCCTTTGATGCTATTTCTCAACTCCTGGAGAAGTGCTGTTCTTTTATCGTGGATCAGCAAGATGTGATATGCCCAATGCCAGTTCCACCTCTTTCAAAAAAACTCCAGCTCCTGTCCCTTGCAGACGGAGTCCACGCCTAGGTGAACGCTCAGAAGAAATACTCAGAAAATATGGATTTGGCAAAGAAATAACAGCCCATCTCCATGCTGCAGGAGTCATTAAAAGCAGTAAGCCAACAGCTTATCTATAACATTTAATTGTGAAATGTGCCTGTTTGATAAGTAATCTCATGTTCTTAAATTGATATGTAAGATAAGGAAATTGTAGGTGCTTTCCTTTGCGGGGAGTTCATTTCTGTGTTAAGATTAAATCACATACTTTCAGAATATGTAAAGAATGCTGGCATGTTTTATTTGTTAGACTGCTATGATTTTTTTTTTTTAATTAATAGACTTTATTTTTTTTTAAGCAGTTTTAGGTTTACAGAAAAATTAAGCAGAAAGTGCAGAGTTCCCATATGTCCCCCACTCCCGGAGTTTTTCCTGTTATGAACATTTTGCATTTGTGGTACATTTGCTATAATTAGTGAACCAATATTGGTACATTATTATTAACTAAAGCCCAGAGTTCGCATTGAAATACATAGTTTATATAGTAACTCTTTGTGTTGTACAATTCTATGGGTTTAGGCAAATGCATAATGTCATGTGTCCACTGTTACAGTATCATACAGAATAGTTTCACTGCCCTAAAAATGTCCTGTGCTCCACCTCTTCATCCCTCACCCCCTCCCCCTGTACCTTGGCAACCACTGATCTTTTTCCTGTCTCTATAATCTTGCTTTTTCCAGAATGTCATACAGTTGGAATCATATAGTATGTAGCTTTTTCAGAGAGGCTTCTTTCACTTAGCAATCTGCATATAAGATTCCTCCATGTCTTTTCATGGTTTGATAGCTCATTTCTGTCTGAAATACCCTTTTATAATTTTTATACCAAATAAGGACTGTAGCGTTTACATGTATTGTCCGTATTATTCTGTGATCCAAACCAATGGCATATTTGGCAAGTATTACACTTAAAGTAATTTTAAAATGTTGTCTCATGTCTTGAAATTGAACAAGTTTCTACATGTTAATACTTTTTTAAAAAATCACTTAACTGTTTTGCTGGGTTTGCCCTAGTGGGGGAAGAGAGAAGGACACGATTTAAAATTTAACCATAATATACAATGTGTTTCAAGGTGGGGCAATATGGAAAGAATATTACTAGATGGTTATACTTTAACAAAATGTAAACACACATACTCTCAGACCCAAATGTAGACAAGCATGCACATTGCAATGCACCAGGAATGCTGTACTTTAACAAATAATGGGTGATAGGCAATTTTTTTCTTAGAGGGTAAGTGCCCTATTTTGTGTGTGTGGCGGGGGGGGGGTCACATAAAATGATCTCATCTCACAAAAATCATTTTGTGAGAACCCATTCCAAATCAGTTTTTCTTGGGGGTGTGTCCTTGGCTGATTCTTTCTGTCCCTGCGCAACTTTTAATTTTCCTCCCACTCTACCTTTCTGGGAAGGTTCAAAGCAAGAGACTCCTTTCTCAACCCCATTGACTAAGTGCCTTTCAATTTTTATGAAATACGGGAATTTAAATACATATATTGCCGATTGACCCCCAGAAAAGATACAAATTTATACCCCTCCAATAGTATGTGAAAGTACATTTCTTTGCATGGTTGCAACTCTGAATATTATGAATCATTTTATCTTTGTCAGTCATTTTAGTGATAACATTTACTTTATTCTTGTTTTAGTTTGCTTTTCTTAGATTACTAGTGAGATGGAGCATCTTTCTCTATGCTTCTTGACATTTGTGTTCATCTTTAGAGTACTGATCATTTTAAACCTTTGCCTATTTTTAGATTAGAATGTTGTCTTTTTATTGTTTCACAGGAACATTTTGTCTGCCATTTATGTTGCTCATATTTTTCTTAATTTGATGTTTCTCTTTTAACTTTGTAGAACTTTTTACTGTGCTCAAGTTTTAATTTTTTATGAAATCAATCTTAAAAGCATAAACTTCATACTGTGGGAGACTGCAAAAACAGCTGTAGGTTTTTCCTCCTTCTTGTGCCCATGCCCTTTGCAATGTGACTTTGCTGCTCCCCCAGCAAGAGAAGGCACCTATTTCCCTGTCCCTTGAGTCTGGGCAGGACTGGGACCTTCAATGGCCAGTGGGATGTGGCCAAGGTGACGGTGTGCACCAAGATGCCTTGTAGATCTTTGCTGTCTTCTTGGAGCCTTACTACCGCCATGTGAAAAATCCAGGCTGGTTTGCTGGATGAGAAGACATATGGCCCAGTTGCCCTCACCTAGGCCAGTATCCAGCCAACCACCAGACGTGTGGGTAAAGCCGTTCTGGACAACCAGTCCACAGCCCACCGGCCAGCTGAGCACAGACTTATGTTGAGATCAGCCATGCCTGGCCCAGATCAGCAGAACTATCCAGATGATCTGTAACTGTGAACGATCATAAATGTTTATAGCTTTAAAGCACTGAATTTAGGGACAGTTTGCTACGAAGCAGTAAATAACTGATAAATCTATGTTGTCTTCTAATACTAAGCTTTTTGGGGTTGCTTTTGTCCCCATAAAAAAAAGTTTATGCATGGCATGAGGTAGTTAAGGGGGTCTTTATTTCTTTTACTAACTGTATAGCCAATTTTCTCAACACTATTTATGGAAATTCCTTGAACCACTTATTTGAAATGTCATTGTTTTCATTAACTAAATTCCCATATACACAAGGGTTTGCTTCTGAGCTCTCTAATATGTTCCACTGATTTATTTGCTTATTTCTGTGCCAATAACAATGTTCAGTTACTTAATTTTAGAGTATGACTTGATATCTAAGGGAATAATGCTGGATATCAATTTTTAGAATTGAAGGGGAGGCATATTGTGTTAAATACTTTTGTAGTCCACACAGAATCTGGCTAATGTTTGTGAACAGGGTGGTGATTGCAAAATATTTTTTAAAAGAGGAAACATTTGGTTTTCTATATTGTAATTCTGTGGCATTCAATATACTAGAAATAAATTTGGGGACCATGTGGTTTACAAAGATGACATTTACGGTCATTATCTCTTTTTATCCTCACAACTCTGAAAGGTATAAGGTTAGCAATCCCAGAAAGGCTACATCATGCTCAAGATGGAGGAAGAAGGAGGAGAAGAAGAAAGAGGAGGAGGAGAAAGGTAACATTTACTGACTGTTTACTTTGTGTCTGGCTTATACTAAACACTGTACTTGCTTCACCTTATTTAATTCTCTTAACAACTCTATGAGGAGGGTACGATTTTTATATTTATTTTTCAGAAGAGAAGGTGAGATTCAAGAGAAGTTAAGTAACTTGATTACAGTCATACAGTGAGCAATAGAATGAAAATTCTAAATACACATGAACACAGAAAAAAATAACAAGAATAACAAAACCCACAGAAATATACCTAAAGGTTAGCAGTTGTTTTCTTTGGATAGTGGGATCGTGACAATTTCCAATTTTTTCTTGATACTCTTTTTCTGTTCAACTTTTCTGCAAGAGGCATGTGTTATTTTAGTAAGCACAAACTATAAATGTAATAATACAGATAACTCCTAAAAAGATGGCACCTTTTAGTCATTGGAATCCAGCATGAATTCTCCAGTAAAATAGTGGATGGTTTTCTTTCTCACATACCTTGGACAGGGTCACTAAGGTTGAAGACAGGACCAACCACATATGAGTAATCTCCATTCTGCTTCTTCATTCTCTCCTACGTGCACTTTTCACTGATCCATCCTGCTCCTGCCTTGAATTCCACCTTTGCACGACTCTCTAATCCTCACCTTTAAAGGAATGCAAACAGATGAATGAAGAAACTTCATCCAAAGCAGCACTGGGTAATAAACAGCTGACAAAGGAGTTTGGAAGGTGTAGGAAACATTCATTTTGCCCCTTTTTCCTATTTCTGCTCCTCAGGCTCCTCCCTACTGCTAAATGTGACATGTGAAGGGTGTTGGTACTATCTGGCTATATTTGTTTTATTGTAATGGTCAAAAAATAAGGGTTAGATTGTGAATATAGGGACGGAATATAGGGACCTCTAATCAAATGGTAAAGAAGAACAGAACTTCTTGAAAATATGAGGAAATAGGGAAGAAACAATAATTTGACTGATCCAGGGGAAAAAAAGAAAAATAAAAGGAATAAAAAAGAAATAAACAACAAAAAAATTAAAATAAATGTCATACCAAATACTAAATCTGTTGCCATTGAGTCGATTTCGACTCACAGCAACCCTATAGGACAGAGTAGGGTTTCCAAGGAGTGGCTGGTGGATTTGAACTGCCAACCTTGAGTTAGCAGCTATTGCTCTTAACCACTGTACCACCAGGGATCTGAAATGTCATACAGCAGGATTAAAATTAAGTTTATTGGTTGTTTTTGTTGTTAGATGCTGTCGATTCTGTTCCAACTCATAGCAACCCGATGTACAACAGAAAGAAACACTGCCCGGTCGTGCGCCATCCTCACAATTGTTGTTATGTTTGAGCCCATTGTTGCAGCCACTGTGTCAATCCATCTTTGTGAGGGCCTTCCTCTTTCTCACTGACCCTCTACTTTACCAAGCATAATGGTAGTTCCATTAAATGTGAGTGGGCTGATTCTTCTATTAAAAGACAGACTAGGAGAGGTTTTTATTTGGTTTTTAGTTTGCTTCCAAAGACCAAACATCAAGTTTAGGAAAGGCAGAAAATAAAGGAATTAATAACTACGCATATAGCAAATATTAAAATTGCCACTCCTTATTTCCATCAAACAAGGTGAAATTTACGGTTAAAAGCACCAACGTTCAAGAGAAACATTAGAACATTGTGCCACAGTCTATGGCAGCAAATGTGAACATTTAGGAGAGATTGGTGGTTTTCTTTTTATCAGTGTACAAGCTACTTAGAAAACCTGGATAGATCAATTAAGGCTTAGGACTTCTTTCTAAGCAGTAAGAAAGACTCAGAAAGTTTAAATGAAAAGATAGACATATTTGACAATATAACAATTCAAATTCTTGTGTAGCCAAGAAAACAATTCAAATATTTGTGTGGCCAAGAAAAAGACAAATGATAACTAGAAAGAAAAGTTTGGAACATCTCTAAAAAAATAACATCAATCGCATATCAGGAGGAGCTCTAACAAACTGACAAAAAAAAGTTTTTAGGACTAAAAATGATTTTTAACCCTAATTTTAAAAAATGGGCAAAAAATGCAATGGATATGATAGGCAATTTGTAGAAGAGAATATCTAAATGGCCAATAACCATATTAAAAAAGCTGGTTAATCCTACTAGCAATCAGGGAGGGCACTTTATTGTCTTAACCCAACAGATAGATTATTAAAAATTAAAATATATATCTCACTCAGCATTAAGGCAGATCCAGGAAGAGATCACTATCATACACTGCTCGCGAGAGTGTAAATTGTTCTACCCTTTTTGGAAAGCAACCTGGCAAAACACACTAGATTAATTAAATTAATACACCCATAAATACTCCTGTACCTAAGAATCCAAGATGTATATACATATATGTTGAAGTATTACCCATACTGGCAAAACAGTACAAAAACCAGAAGTTCCATCAATAGAGAAATGGTTGAATAAAGACTGATACATCTATACATGGAATATTACATAGCTAATAAAATGAATACGTTTATCTATTGACCGAAAGAGAATTGCGCAAAGTACTGTTGAGCAAGGAAAGCAAGTTCCAAGTAATGATTTTTTTTTTTTTGCAAAATAAGCAATTGCAATAAAGATCTTATGTTTGTGTATATCCTTGATTATGATGATATACGTACTGAGAATAGAATGGAAAGAAACACATCAGGCTATTAGTTTTGGAAGAGTGAATGAGAAAAATTTTTAAAGGAAGTTTTTTTTTTTTAAGTAGAAAGAAAATAATTAGAAAAGGACACAAACAAGTATTACAAGTATATTTATTTTGATCTTGTCCATAATGGCAAACTTTTGGAAATCATCTAATATTTTAACTATAGGGTTTTGATTAACTAATTACGTACAGTTTACCAAATCTAATACTCTGTAGTCATAAAAATGATACATATAACCATAGTTATTTTCATAAAGAGCATTTAGAGTGTCTATTGTTTAGGTGAAAATCAATTTACAAAATAGCAAACATTTTATTTAAAACTCAGAGTCATAGAGGACTATCAGAAGCTACATAAAAATAACAAAGCCTATCAAAAATCAGCCACACTTTCACCCTAAATGGCATATTAATAAAAAAAATTTCAATTAAAGTCAGGCAATAAACAAAAGCATTCCTTTATATTGAGTTAATTCAATCTTGCCTTGTGGTTCTTGGAAATTCAGTAAGACAAGAAAATGAAACTCTAAGTATAAACACTGAAAACCAGCTCTTTCATGATAATATGATTGCACAGGTAGAAAAATCCAAGAGATTAATAATAGAAAGAAAAGTCCATTGGAATTAATAAGAAAATTGTGTTAGGTTGTTAGATTCAAGCTAAACATTCAAAAATCAATGGTTTCTCCCCACCCCCAATTCTATCAATAAGCACCTAGAAAGGAAATGAGGAAAACATCCCATTCACAATATTGACAGAACCCCTAAAACACTTAGGAATAACTTTAACAAGAAAGATATTGGATTCAAAGAAAACTATAAAATCTTATCAAAGGATATGAAAGAATTTCCAAAAAAGTAGAAAGAGGTTACGTATTCCTGGGTGGGAAATCTCATTATGATAAAAAATATTCTCTCAAAATTAATATGTAAACATAAGGTAATTCCAATTAGAATTCCATAAAGTGTTTAAATTTGATAAGAGGATCATAAAATTTGTACGGAAGCATAACTGCCTAAGGTTGGCCAGGATATTTTTAAATAATTGCCTTACCAAATATCAGAAACTTTAAAGCCATTGTAATCAAATTAGAATGTTATTCATACAGGAATAAATGTATAGAGCAGTGAGACAGAATTAAAAATCCAAAAATAAATCCCAGTATAGATCCTAACTTAGGTGAGATTTAAGTTTGGTAGGAAAGAATGAATTGTTTAATATGTTGTTGTTGTTAGATGCCGACGACTCTGTTCTGACTCATAG